AAAGGGCACTTTTCCTTCCTCTGAGACAGAGTCTACAGCAGGGCCACGTGTGAGCCAGCTGTAACCAGCTGAAATATGCTTTTATCACCAAACACAGAACTCAGGTCTGGCCCGCGGCTTCTCCCTAGCACAGGCCTCTCTGCAATCACTAAGAGAGGGGGAGGGGTGCGAGGGGTGCTGGAGGCTTTCCTTACTGAAGACCTTCAGAGAGGGAGGTTGAGGTGGAACAGGGTCCCTGTGTGTTTGGTGTCCTGTGTCCAACTGGAGCCGGGCACTAGAACCACTGACATCTGCCAGACCCTCCCTGACCTTGTGCCAGTTTGCCTGCATTGGGGATTCCACCAGCCGCAGTGGGGGGCATGTTCAGAAGGTACATAATAAGTTCCACTGAGTCATCCACCTGTCTTTGACCCATTTCCAGAAAGTCATCTGGTTGAAGTTCAGCCTTGAGTGTCTGTGATCCCAAGGCTCTCGGGGGTGAAGTTGACAGCGACTCTCCAAACACAGTGCCCTGTGGAGTGGATGCATTCCTTCATTCCTCACTCAGCATTGGACGGGTACCTAGGCTCCAGGATTTGGGGTTCAGGGCCCGCCTGAGGCCATTTTAGACCTGCCGAGTGAGCAGCCACATCTCAAAGGCAGCTTTCCAGTGTCTCTGGAGCCAGGGGCACTCTGATGTGCTGAGGTTTCCCAAGAAATGAGGGTGGTTGGCCTGGGACATAAACTGCTGCTTGTGAATTTTCCCCCTGCACACACACACACACACACACACACACACACACACACACACACACACACAATTTGAGAATAAAATGATGCTTCTTCTCCACCTGTTCTATATCCCTGTCCCCCTTGCCACACCCATTAGGCTCTTTGCAGAGTCTTTCCGGGGAGCAATGTGCCTTCTCTTTGCTCCGCAACACTGCCTACCAGTGCTGGTGGTTGGCTGCCCCTTTGGAGAATGTGGTAGAGGCTGAGAGTTGGTCAGAATCCTCCCCAATTCGGGGCGGCCTCCGCTGGGTTTCCCCAGGCTTGTTTCCTGCCTGGAGAGGCACACTGGTGTGCAGCACCTGCCTGACTTTTTAGTTCTGGAATGAAGAAATGCTCACTCCTCTGCCTGGAAGGAACAGGAAACTGGAATTGTAAACATCACCTTTCAGTCATTTTCAAATCCCAGGCCTCGATTTTTCCCTCCAACCTTTCATTCTAAGTGGCTTCTCTGGACCTCCCCCAATGATTAAATGAGAAAAATTCAAATTTTGATCAACTTTGTTTCTAAGTTTTGGGGAGTGGAAGTGAGAGGCTCCCAGGGAAATGACATTCATGGCAAATGAAGAAGATAGTAGGGAGGAGGGTGAGAAGGTATGCAGTTAGAAACCGCGCTCCTAGGTAATTGTCTCGTTTGGGCACGGGAAGGATTAGGGGCTTGTTTATTGTCTTTGATTTCTTTAGTACTGTAGGGGATGCATTCATATGACAGGAGTGTTTGCAGGTGAGAGCTGCGGCAGCACAGGGCCATGCTGGGGAGGGGCCCAGGACAGGCACGCTTCGGGGGCCCCTGGGAACCGGCACCAGGGAGAGCTCAGGAGTCCTAGGCAGGCAGTCAGGTTAGGCGGCTGGGTGAGGTAGACCGTCCCAGCCAGGCAGACAAGCCCACGCGGGTGGGTGCAGGAGCAGCAGAACACAAAACACCCAGCACAGGGCCTGGGAGGGGCCACAGCCAGCATGGGACACCCAGAGAGCATAAATGCAAGAGGCTCCATCTCTCAGCACTCAGGCTCCCAGGAAGATGGGGGAGAGCAAAGGCCCCCAGGGCCCCGCACAGCCCAAAGCCTTTGGGAACTGCAGCTCTGCCTCCCTCAGAAGCTCCCTGGGCTGCTCCCAGGTAGGACCCAGGTCCTCTGAGAGCGAGGAGGGATGGGGAAGCATGGTAGGAACAAGTGTCAGGGCAAAGCTGAACTCAGGGTTTTCCTGCAAAGATAAACAAAAGCCCAGATAGTAATGGGAGGAATTTTGAGAACTGTATCCACAAGGGACTGAAGAAGCCAAAAAGTCCAGGGCCAGAGATGACACACAGCTGAGGGCAAACATAATGTGGAAAATGTGAGTGGCAAGAGAGGAATGGGGTGAGCAGAGAAGGGGGGCAGAGAGAGGCGACAGCAAGGAGAATTCCAGAGGACAGAAGGATGAGTTGTAGCGTCCTGCCAGTATTTCCCAAGCTAGGCTTCCTTCTTCTCATAGGGAAGTTCTGAGTTTTAGAAAATGCCACACAACAAGCTGGCAGGGCGTATGCATAGGAACACAGGCTCTGGAGTTGAACCACCTGAGCTGAAAACCCAGCTAGACCACCGACTGGCTGTGTGAACATAGGCAAGTTACTTAGCCACTCTGTGCCTCAGCTTTACTCAAATGTGAAAAGAGAACAAGAAAGGACTCACTTTATAGGATAATCATGGGAATTGAAAGCTAATTCCGGGGAAAGCACACAGAACAGAGTCTGGCACATAGTAAGTGTTCAATAAATGTTAGTTATTATGATTTGTGTTGAAACAGAAGCCATCGAGCCAGCCAACATTTGTAGCACATACGCCAAACTGGGCATGGCACTGGGGGCTGAAGATGGGATGAGAAAGCACTTTTGAGCGAGGCCTCAAAAATAAGTAGAAAAGTCAAGAGTCAACTCTAGTCTTATGGTTCTAGAACTCAGACTAGCGGCTTCCTGTGAAAGGGGGTATCATGAAAGGTTTCCGGAGTGATGAGTGTGTTATGTAGCTGACTGGGTATTGGTTACATGGGTGTACACATTTGTCAAAAATCAAATTGAACTCTTGAAATATTTGCATTTTATTATATGTCAACTATATATCAATATATAAATTAAATTAGTTTATTGGAAACTGTCTTTTAAAATGAGTTGTATAGGGAGCGGAGGGGCCTCGAAGAGTGGTAGTTACAGGCAGCATTGGTGCCTGTGGTGACCTGCTCACTACTGCATTTGGCTGGGTTTTAGGGTGTGAGGGGAAGGACCCCAGATCAGGTGGATAGAGCCTTATGTGCCATACAGAGAAGACCAAACATGTTCCGAGTAGCCATGGCTACCCCTGGCTGAGACTGCCCTGCCTTGGAGGCTAGGGTTCCATTGGCCTGGTTGGGTAGAGAGAAGCAGGCCTCCCACACTCCCTCCCCACCAGAACTCTGTCTGGAGGGGGGGAGGAGGGGAGAAAAGAGGAGAAACCAGAGAGGAATGGTCAAAGTGAGCTGCACCCAGTGCCCTAAAAGATAGTCGGGGGGGTGGGGGGGCATTTCCCACACCCAGGCTGAACTCAGTCAACTTCCCCCATGGCTTTGTCACAGCCAGTGGGGAAATGGCCACCAGGGACTATTTCAGTCTTCAGGAGGTGATCTCTCCCTCCTCACCCCATAAGCCTGAGTGCCAATGCCTGTGTCAGGAATTCCTACGTCTTTCTGCACCTTTCCTATGCCTCCAAACTACAGGCTCTCTCTTGCTGCTTGTCTCCCTTGAAGATGCTCCTTCCTATGTCCATCATGTTCCATGGCTCTCAAACCTTCTCACTTCCCAACCCCACTCCCTTTTTTTTTTTTTTTTTTTTAACACTAGGACCCTGTCTGGTCCCTCCCTTCCCTGGACATCTGTTGCAAGGCCAAGCAATGGTTTCTTTTCACCACTATCCCCCATGTTAGTTCCTCAGCTTGATTATAAGGTCAGTGAAGGCAGGAAAGAGCCTGAAAGGCTGCTGTCTCTCCCACTGACTTGAGAACATAGTAAATCCGTAATAAATATTTATTGGTAGGTTGATTGAATTTAGAAGATCTAGACCAATGTGGGGATTGTCTGTGCCAAATCAGAGTCGAGGAAGTGTTTTCATTTCCCCAAACATTTTCAGCACAGGTCCCATTTAGACTTCTGCTTTGGTGGGAAGGGTGGGGCTAGGGGGTCAGAGGGCCTGAAGGAGATGGAAAGCAATGTGGCTGGGTCATTGTGAGATGTTTAATCCTGACCCCAGAAGACCCAGGCAGCAGAGCTGTGTTCCCCACACCCTCCATCAAAGAAAACGCAGCTGCGCTGAGAGTGCTGGGCAAGAAATGAGGTCAGGTTCTGTCAAAGCCAGTGCAATTCACAGGTGAGCTCATCTTTCTGGCTTTACAGCAACTGTCCAGTCATTACCGAAATTGCAGTTATGAACCGACCAACCTGCTGGGAAGAGAATTTGGGATACATTACGAACTTCAAAAAGTTTCTGCCAGGAAACTGAAGGTAACCATGGCCACGGGGAGGGCTCTTCACCTTGAGCAGGGAGCTTCGTGCTCGCGGATTGGATTTGCTGTTCTGTATTCTGAGCATCCTTCCCTTGGTCTCTTTTGCTTTCTCTGTCAAATGGGAGAAAGAACTAGCTCAGGGATCTGGAGAGCTATGGGCCCAGGTTTTAGCTGGTTTCAGTTCCAGAGCACTTAACTGAGGGTACCTCAGGCTTTGCCGTTTTATTGTCTGCAGAATGGGAAACAGAATCTGGCCCAGCGACAGGGAAACAGAAAGGAATGGCAGGTTTGCGGATGGTTTCTGCATAATCCTGATTATTGTAGTCATGTGGTCATGTCTACGCTCATGACTACGTGGTGCTACTGAGGGTTTCATCCATCCATAAACTCACTTTTGTCCCTTTCAGAACAGCTGTCCCGGACACACCCGCACGCCCACCTGGCAGTCCCAGGTGAAACAACAGCCCTCACCTCGGCTGACAGAGTCCCCCAGAGGACGCCTGCTGATGGGCTGGGGGGCAGTGTCCCTGTGTGCCTGAAGGACTGTGCTGAGAAACACATGCTCAGAAAGACATACAGCCATTGCCTGGTTGCATGCCACCGCCCCCTCCCAACCCTTGCCCATCTCCTGCCCCACAGGGATCCAGCCCTGGAATTGTGAGAAAGTTACACAAGAGCCCAGGTCTGCGAGAAGGGGGTGAGGGTGGATGCTGGCTGCTGAGATGGTGCTGCCCATTGTGAGCTGCCGCTGTGCCTGCCCCTGAGCTCCACTAGCCAACCCCCTAACCAACCTGGAGGCTGGGGAAGTTTAGACTCTGGCTTCTCAGAGGGCACTGTGTTTTGACTAACTGGCTCCTCTCCTGCAGACCCTGGTGAACGAGGGGGTCAGCTTTGACAGGTAAAGCCACACATTGTTCTGATCTGGGCATCTTGCTCTAGCAGTGCCTCCAGGGCCCCCTCACAGGCCTTCCTCTCCTCCCCGCTCTGTGCTTTTCCCCTTTCCTCCCCCAACCAGCTTTTCTGGGCCTTCTCATTGAGCTCTCTCAGGTGGGGAACTATTTCTCCTCTAGTTTCTCTTTTTTCTGACCCTTTACGTCCAGGCCTTGCTGAGGAATAGCAACTCTTATGCCCCCTTATGAAATAAAAACCTAAATTCCAAGAGACACAAAACTCACTACTTACTTTTCCTTACTGTCCAGCAACCCCCGCGTTAAGTAAAACTGAGCACTAACATTTATTGAGTGCTGACTGTGTGCTGGGCACTGTTCTTGGTGCTGTGGCATGCCGCCCAAGTCCCCTCTTTGGGACCAAGGCCCTCATCCCCCTCACCCCAGAGTGTTGTGGGCTGTAGGCTCACATGCAGCGGCCTCTCTCTGAGTTCCCCTTGACAGGGAGAGATGCCTTGTTTAATATAAGGCCATCTCTTGGGGCAACTGCATCCAATGAAAGGTTGATGTGGGGCTATTTGTCCCCATGCTTCAATGGGGGACAGCATCAAGGGGCTGTCCCACTGGTAGCATTCACCTCCTCCCTCTGCCCAACCCAGCTTCCCTCACTCCCTCTCAGTTCCAGGAACTCTCCCCAGCAAAGTCTCTGCCTCAGAGGAACTGAATTTCCTGTTTCCTGGGAAACTAAAACTAAGAATTGGCTCATTTACACCTCACACCCATCTCATGAAGTATATGTGTCATGTTCTCTACTTAGAGACCGGAAAACAAGGCACACAAAAGCTAAGAGGCTTGCCCAAGGTCTTCCACCAGTAAATGGTGGAGCCCTGATTTGCAGCCAGGATCTGCTGTAGACTCCACACAGACAACCTCGAAAGCAACCTCTAGGTAGCAATCCCAGAGGGAACTGAGGGGCAAGGAGAGAGGTGGTGCCTCTCGCCTCGATGGGACGGTGAGGCCAGAGACAGGGAAGACATTTATCACGTTTATCTCAGAGATTGGGGCACTAAGCTGCTTATTTCCAGGATCATTCATCCTTTACAGAGACGGTGAGGTTCTAATTTTTTTTAGGGGAAAGCAGTGGGAAAAGCATAGTAAATTCATACTTAAATTCTGGTACAATGCTTAGGTTGAATAACTTGCTCCGAGTTACACAGTAAGTCTTAGCAAAGGGGCCTAATACATAGATGCTCAATCAAGTCCCCACCTATTCCCAACTCCATGATCTCAGGCAAGTCTCTTTAACCTTCTGACTCGGTTTCTTCATTTATAAAATAAAGGCGGTGATGAGATGGTTATAGATGAAGGGCTTACTTAGCCCCGTGGCCGTCGGGTGGGAGCACAGCAGATGGGAGTTATCAGTATAATCACCATGCTGTCCTGCTCGGGGCTGCATTTCAGGAACTAACAGGCTCAGGCTGTGATCCCCGCCATGCGCGCCTCCCAGGCCCTTCACCCCGCTATGGGAACCCTCCAGTGCCTCTGAGCTGGTCTCCAGCTTGTGCTAGAGGCCGGCGGGTTTTTTTCCCTACTAAGTGGGTGTCGCGTCTCATCTCCG